GACAACGCTGAAGTGTCACAACTGTGGTAAATTAGGTCATCGAGCATCTGACTGTCGATCAAGAAATGAGGTGAAAGGCAAAACAGCCAATACCACCACCTCGGCGTCAAGTTCTTCAGGACCAAAACAGCGTTTGGATATCATCTGCTTTCGATGCGGCAACGCCGGACATTTTGCAGCAAAATGTCCACGAAGCAATAATGTGGGCACCAGCGCGGCGGGTGATACGAGCAGTCCTGGGGCAGCGCCTGCCGCAGCGGCGACCAGTGAGCGACGTGTCAACGTTTGTTATGTCAGCAATCCCAGCGGTGTGCTGATGAATGCTGGTGAGTCATACCCATTTTACTACGATTCTGGTGCCGAATGCTCTCTGATCAAAGATTGTGTAGCGTCAAAGTTTAGTGGAAAGCGAGTAAATAATATTGTAAATTTAACCGGAATCGGTCACGTTAGTGTGCAAAGTAGCTTACAAATTTTATCTGAAGTTATAATTAACGATTTACGATTAGAGATATTATTTCATGTTGTACCGAATAGTTGTATTAAAAATGATATCTTAATCGGCCGCGAGATTTTAGATCAGGGGTTCAACGTTAGTATGACGTCTGATAGCGTTGTTTTGTGTCGTGATAAGGTTGTGAGATTAACTTCAAATAAGCCCAAGACGTATACTAATTATCAAATTGATTCAAATAAAGTTTACACAGACATTCCGCCAGAATTTCGTTTTCGATTAATGGATCTTTTGTCAGAATATTCATCTTCGTTTTCTAGTGGTGTACCTAAATCCCGTGTTACGACAGGAGAGTTGCAAATTAGGCTTATAGATCCTAGTCGAACGGTTAAACGTCGCCCTTATAGGCTTAGTGCAAATGAACGTGAAGTTGTTACTGCTAAAGTTCGTGAACTAGAGGAAGCAGGTATTATTAGGCCAAGTTGTTTACCCTTTTCTAGTCCAGTGTTGCTTGTCAAGAAGAAAGATGATTCAGATCGCATGTGTGTCGACTACAGGGAACTGAACGACAACATTGTATCGGATAGGTTTCCATTGCCGTTGATAGAGGGCCTTGTATCCAGGTTAGGTGGTGTTACATGGTTCACGTGTCTCGATATGTTGTCAGGCTATCACCAGATTCCAGTGCAGCCTGAATCGATAGAGCGCACTGCATTCGTCACACCTGATGGTCAGTGGGAATATTTGACCATGCCGTTCGGTTTGAAGAATGCCAGCTCAGTTTATCAACGTGCAGTGATGAAGGCTTTAGGCGATCTTGCTAACAGCTATGCTGTGACATACGTCGATGACATTTTAGTGATAGGATCGTCTGTAGAGGAGAATTTGTTTCGTCTTCGCACTGTGCTAGATAAATTAACAAAAGCTGGTTTCTCCCTAAATCTTGCTAAGTGTTCCTTTCTTAAGTGACGGGTAGAATATTTAGGCTTTGTTGTTGAGAACGGCCAAATCAGTCCCAACCCAAATAAAATTGCAGCTTTGTCCAGACTTCCCCCGCCTAAAACCATCACTCAGCTAAGACAGTTCATAGGGCTGGCCACTTATTTCAGACAATTTGTGCCACAGTTCTCAAAAACGATGACTCCTCTATTTCGTCTAACGAGTGGCAAGAACAGGTCCATTGAGTGGGAACCTAGCCATGAGGCTGTTCGTCAGAAAATTATTTCTTATTTAACCAGTAAGCCTATTCTAACGATATTTGATCCTGCACATCCAATAGAGTTACACACTGATGCCAGTGCTGAAGGATATGGTGCTATTTTTATTCAAAAGATTAATGGGATACAACATGTGGTTGCTTATTACAGTCGTCGTACATCCCCAGCCGAATCAAAGTTTCATTCATTTGAGTTAGAAACGTTAGCTGTGTTCAATGCCATAAAGCATTTTCGACATTATTTGCTAGGTCGTAAGTTTACCGTTGTGACAGACTGCAGTTCTGTTAAAGCTTCTAAAAGCAAAACTGATTTGTCTCCACGAGTTCATCGTTGGTGGGCCTACATGCAGTCATTTGAGTTTGATATCATCCATCGTGAAGGCAGTAGGATGAGCCATGTAGACTTCCTGTCTAGAAATCCCCTCCCTAAGCCCGAAGTGGCTTTCACTCGTGTGGAACAAAAGCGTATCGATTTAGCTGAGCTTTCTAGTAACTGGTTGCAAGCTGAACAGGAAAAGGACGAAGAGATTAGTAAGATCGTTTCTGATCTTCGTAACGAAGTCTTTCCTGAGGAAACTCGCAAAACCTACGAAGTTCGTAAAAACATTTTATATCGCCAAATTCAGCGTAACGGTCGCACTCGATGGCTGCCTATCGTACCTATATCGCTTAGGTGGTCTGTGATTAATAACGTCCATGAGTCTGTCATGCACTTAGGATGGGAGCAAACTCTCGAAAAGATTTACGAGCACTACTGGTTCGAAGGCATGTCGAAATATGTGAGGAAATTTGTGGACAACTGCATCACATGTAAAGTAGCGAAGCCCCACTTGGGTAAAGTTCAAGCAGAACTGCACCCGATTCCCAAGTTCAATATCCCCTGGCACACAATCCATATTGACGCTTCTGGTAAATTATCTGGGAAGAACGACATCAAGTGTTTGTCATATTAGATGCGTTTACCAAATTTGTGCTACTTCGTCATTCGCTAAACATCGACACAAATAGTAGTATTCGTACTATTAATTTCTGTATAGCTCTGTTTGGTGCACCGAAACGCATAATAGCAGATCAGGGTCGTTGTTTCGCTAGCAAAGATTTTTCTAGTTTCTGCACTTCTAATAACATAGAGTTGCACTTGATAGCTGCTGGAGGCAGTCGTGCAAATGGTCAGGTCGAGAGGGTAATGAGTACGCTTAAGAGTATGTTAACAGCGGTAGAGACTAGTCGTGACCGCTCTTGGCAGGACGCATTAGGAGAGGTTCAGCTGGCTATGAACTCTACTGTTAATAGGGTGACTAAATATAGCCCTCTAGAGTTGATGATAGGCAGGGTAGCACGACCGCTTAGTTTAGTGACCGCCGATGATAATGATGTGACTGAAGTTAACTTGGATGAGATCAAAAAGCACGCGACACAGAATATTTAAAAAAATGCCAATTATGATAAAAATCGATTTGACCGAAATAAGGCTCGGGTTTGTAAATTAGCTATCAATGATTACGTTTTAATTGAAAATGAGGAGAGGAATCAAACGAAATTAGATCCCAAGTTTAAAGGTCCTTTTAAGATTATCGATGTGTTAGATGGGGATAGATACCTACTAAAAGCGCTTGACTCTAAGCGAACCTACAAATACCCCCATGATCGTATGAGGAAGGTCCCCGATCACCAAGTTCCTCGAGAATTAGACGTCATAGTTGATGACGGTGATAGTGAAACCAAATCTAATTAAGAATGGCATGTATACTCATACTCGAAACTTTAGACCGTACCTCATGAGTAACATGTGACGATGGGTCTGTAGGAAATCGTTGATGCGATTTCTGTATGTATTGGTACACAGAGCCCCTCATGTGTTGTAGCATATTTGGCGGCAGATATGTGGGGAATCGTTGGTGCGATTCTCACATATGTGACGGCAGATATGTAAAGAATCGTTGGTGTGATTCTGGTCTGTGTTGGTGCACAGATTTCAATGAAAGTTTCACGAGTTGAATAAACATTGCTTATGAATTATGGTAAAGAGTAACAAAATTGTTGGAATTGCTGTGTTGGAACTTGTTGATCGGACCTTTCACAATAAATCATGTAATGCAGGAAGCACTGTGTAAGAAGCCCTAATAATAGGGCTTTGTCAATTATGGTAGTTGATTATTGTACTTAGATTTAGGAGAAATAAAGTACCTTATGGAATCAACCTCGTTTTTATTGGCAGGATAGCCGAGCTAAGTTATTCTCTGAGCATATTTTGTCCACAGGCACTGCACCCGAGGACGGGTGCTAGTCAGGGATGGCCGTGTCGTGGATTGATGGCGCCATAGTGCTACAAGCAGCGCCATCTAGCAATTAGCTTTACGAATCAATAATATCGTCACCGGAAACGCAAGCGCGCCCTACCGCTTGGACACGATCGTCGGTAGAAGGGATGCAGCGAGGGCTAGTGAAGGGACCGAGTGTTGAGGCAGTCGAGTTCGGACAGCCGGAGCGGACGCTCGCTACCGACGCACGTGTTTGTTTCTCGTGTACAACCATTAGTCCAAATAAAGTTATTTTGATTTAAATCATCTTTCGTTCGTGTGCCCACATTCACATAAAACCATGTCTGGGCGTGAAGAAAACCCGATGCTTCGCATCTCGGCCACCCACGATGTGACATATATATATATATATAGATAAGCGGAAACACATAAAAATGTACTCATGATATTTATATCGGTGAAAACTTTCTTACGAGGTACGTCATATGATCAGACTACTGGTGGTTATTGACGAATATTTCTTTTATGATACTAAACTTTTTTCGTCAATATAACAACAGGCTACCAAAAGTCCACTGTCCAACATAACATATGCCTCCGCATTGGATTGCCTTAGAGGAGCGATATTTGCCATAGTTGTCATAATTGGTGGTAGATTGGCTATTATATGGTCTTTAGGGTTTCGTACCATAATTTAATGTAATGTACATCTTTGGCGTATTCGTTTATATCCAGCAGTAGGTAAAATATAAATTAAATATATTTACACGAATATATTGTACAAATAAATAAATTTTATGTACCTTACGTGTTGGTTACTACATAAATTTGTAGCATTGATGCCATTTCTGAAATTAATTTAAAAAAATAATAATTTAATGTATTATTTATTGTACACCAAATTGAAACGAGACAAAATTAAATATATATATATATTTTGTGTTCATCAAAGTAACTCCTATAAACCTTAATAAAATTAATCCAATTAGCAAAAAGTTTATTTGTATGTATTTAAGTCGAATTCAGTTAAAAGGTCGAATTGAACTTTTATTTAATTGCAAAAGTGTACTTACTTTAACGTATTATATAGTTGGAGGCAGATAAAAAAGAGATTGTTTGCGAAAGAGATAAATATTATAGCTCCAATAACATCGTCAATACGCCTCACAAGAGACGCAGCTCTACAGTAATCTTCGCGGACCGTGCGCCAAAAGTACGGCGACATAGTCTAAAAGGCAATGTGTATATGTACATAATTAATAGTTACATATTCAATATTAAAATTAATAAATTAAAAAACATTTCCAAAAGTTGTTACCAATATTTTAAACTCAACTTTTTTGATAAAGTTTTAATAATGAATTGGGGACATGAGAAAGTTTAACGTTATGAATATTATAATATCTTAAAAAAACTCTTACTTTACCGCGAGCTGCAACAATTTTTAGGTTGACTTGTTCTAGTCTTGAGATCAAGTAAAAGCTAATGCAGATAATAAATAAATCCACAAAATTCCAAGTGAATGTGGACTGTATTATGACAAGCTGAAAATTAATAAAAAAAATCTATTAATAAAATTATATTATACCATATATTAAATAGATACGATATTTCGTAGACTCTATTTCATTTGCCACTTCAATCACCAATTGGTGCGGCAATAATATAGATTACGGCAATTTTTCCCAAATTTTGATGTCGTGGACTTAATACAACCTGATGAAGATTACTGTATAATTCAATTAAGGCTATGTAAGTAATTGGTAATAAAATTCACTCATTGTTGCGTTTCAAATTTTAGAGCATACGTAACCGATGTCTCATATGACTATACTATATGCCGTCTTCCAGCTTAATTGTTAGGATGCAGATATCCGTACACTGCAGTGGTACCTAACCATCAAGTAAACTTACCAATACATTTGTTACAACCATAATATTTTTAAAGGTCTTGATTTTTTTATATGATAACGGTGACGAGTGAGCACACCGTTCACCTGACGGAAAGTAGTTGCTGTGGCCCATAGACATCTACATCTATCTGCGTTTGCGACTAAAATTCAGATGCGTTGTTAGCCGTGAGGACTAAGACGGAATGCCTCTTTTCCAGTTAAAAGTGTCTCCGGTTCTCTTCACTCACCAGACAAAATACAGCAGCATTAAGATGCTATTTTACGCTGGTATTCTGTGAGAGCGTAGTCCTCCCTTGGTCGAGGCGACTCATTCATGCTACAACTGCACTAATGACATATTTGTAGCAAGGCTCTAATACGTATAAAATATGAACGTAACATTTTAATATTTTTAGGCTTTTAATGAAGTACACTCCAGGCAGAGGATAATAATGAGTGCACAATTTATATAAGAAATCCTTATTAAGAAGTCCTTTATTTCTATCCATATACAGCGTTAAGTGTTAAGTGATGTTTAGTAAGAAATAAGATTTTTTATGTATGATTTCAGCATTCAAGTAAAGTAAAAGTGTTAATTAAAAAAAATGAGAAACACTTTAAATTTTGACAGCTCCATTTTATATTTAGCCTAATGAGCATTTAAAAAAATAAGAAATGATACAGGACAACGTACAAACTAAGCAAAATATAATCAATAAATTATAACGGTAAAAAAATTGGGACAGTTTTATATACCTGTAATAGAAATCCAATAACATGGTTATAGGGCAAATACACGAAAACCCAAGGAAAGTTATGAGTTATGAAAGCTTCGTAAGCATTTTTATGTGGTTGACAACCAATCACTGCCGCAAATCCCGATAGATCTGATAAAATGTGTTCAACTGCAAATAAATGAGTTATTATTTAAGTATATAGTACCGTATAATATACTATTGATCTGACAACCGAGGTACAGTGCCTTGGTGCTCATATGTGTCCACGGCTTGACATGAGTTCCTCTCAAAGTTAAGAGGATTTTCCGTAATGGCTAAGATTGAATATTTTCTGAAGATGTTCTGATCTTGTCCAACAATCACTGTTGCCGAATAATATTCGGATAAACATAGTAGTCTCACATGAAATACCACACTATATGCTGAGTTTAAAGATGTTTCCGTGTACATAGTTTACAAAAAGATAACTTTTTAGTATCTATTTATTTTATCTTAATTAGTTTAGTTTTTATACTAAAATTTTAAAATGTTATTTTGTAATTAGTAGTAACAAAATACTCTTTGGCATTTTGATAAGTAACTCTTAAATCTGTGTTAAATTTTATGTACATAAATCTCACCAAGGGCTAAAGTAAGGACGAGTACGCAGGTCACATTACATTTCTTAACTAGTGTAGTATCGAAGTTAGGACTTAAAGCTTCCGTCATAGATATTTGTAAGCAAAGTCGCGGCCATGTCATAGCCATCCGAAGAAATAGTACCATTGTAATAAAATTAGAACTGTAGAATACTAGAGAAGCTGAAATGCGCATGATAATGTTATTTTAATGCTTTTTATAACGTTTATAAGAACATAACATAAGTCAAGACCCTCTTTATACAGAGAATCTTATTATTTTTTTTCTTCTTTTGACTAAAATAGAGGCATCATTACTTCTAAAATAATTTCACATTATTCTTCCTAATTTTATAATTCAAACGAAACTTTTCTATACGCGAATATAATATAATCATTAATTATTTTCTTTTTATTTCGATCATTAAATCTTATTTTTTAGTTTCATTATTTACAACTTAACAACTTTACTTTAGTTTAACAACTTACACCTATACTGAAATAGATACTGCCATATTATTTTTATAACAGAATTTAAAAAATCAACTTACTGTTGGACGAGAGTGATGTATCAGTGTCCTTTATATATTTTAATATGCAAAAACATAACATTGTGCCTTGCCCCAAAATCGATAATACTGTGTATATACACCGTGCTGAATAAAATGTAAACCTGGTTAAACATTCCAATTGTATATAACTTTATTGTATTTAATGTCCACAAAATTAAAACAAAAAAGGTAACGAAGGGCACATTATGACAATGCCTCGCATTTTTTTAGACTTAGGGTGACAAATCAGCACACAGTTTACCTGATAGTATGTTTGTTATTGTCGCCCATATACACATATATTTATCTTTGATTAACATTCAAGATGCAGTGAACTATGAATGAATGTTTGCTTACCAATAGACATCTTCATCTATCGTCAATTGAGAATAAAAATGCAGATGCATTGTCACCCCTGAGGACTAAGATAATATGCCTCGTTTCCAGTAAAAAAGTTCCCCGCTTCTCTACACTCACCATACCAAACACAGCAGCATAGCTGCTATATTACGCTGGTAAAATATATCTCTGAATCCCTACACTTACCATACGAAATACATCATTATTTTTCTTCTTTTGTTTGGTAATATGATATCGTATTGTCCTCCCCGTTCGAGCTTACTTGTCATTTGCCTTGTTGTATACATTACATAATACAGGTGCAGCGTGGCTTTACCACGTAAGCTATAATTATAGCTTGTCATTTTTAACTTTAAATGTTCTTATGGTATAAAATATTTTTATATATTCTCTTTATTATACACACAACATAATAATATTTATAAGTTTACTGAATAATAATAATAATAATAACTCATGTATACCTTTGGCATGCTCAGGTGGACTCAGACCGAACTGAACGCTCTGGACAGAAAAGTCCGCACTATAATGACGTCCCACAGGATGCATCATCCGAGATCGTCAGTAATGAGGCTGTACTTGCCGCGGAAGCATGGTGGGCGCGGCTTTTTAAGCGCGCTTACCATGCATAATCGCGAAGTGTGCAGCCTCCGTAATTACTTTCTGACGAGAGCGGATGATCCATTCTATAGGGACGTTATTTCTTGTGATAAAGGACTTACCCCTCTATCCTTAGCCAACGAGCAATGGCAAGACCCGGCAGTACAGAGCATTTCCGACCGGGAGACCGTAATGAAGGAGAAGGAGCTCCACGGGAGGTTCTACAAGGCTCTACATGAGCCTTGCGTAGACACAGTCGCCTCCCTCCACTGGCTACGTTTCGGTGACCTCTTTGGGGAAACCGAGGGTTTTGTCTGTGCGATACAGGATCAGGTTATTAAGACCAACAATTATCGGAGATACATCCTAAAGGATGGCGCCGTCGACATCTGTCGAGCTTGTCGCCATCCCGGTGAGTCACTTAGGCATGTCATCTCCGGTTGTTCGGCGCTTTCTAACTCTGAGTATTTGCACAGACACAACCTAGTAGCCAGGATTCTACACCAGGAGCTCGCTCTGAAATACGGTCTCGTGGATCGGAAACTGCCATATTATAATTACTTGCCGGAAGCCGTGCTCGAAAATGACCGCGCCAGGCTCTACTGGGACCGGGCCATCATCACGGACAGGACTATTCTTGCGAATAAGCCTGATATTGTGCTGATGGACCGGGCACAGTCAAGGATATTTTTGGTCGACATTACCATTCCTTATGACGAGAACCTCGTGAAAGCCGAAACAGATAAGTTGACAAAATATCTGGACCTGGCTCACGAGGTGACCGACATGTGGGGTGGTCTGCCGGCCGAAATTATTCCTGTGGTCGTCTCTGCGAACGGGTTAATCCCAGTCAGCCTCTCGGGTCATCTGAGGCGACTGGGACTCCGTGACGGATCGCTCCAAGCTCAAATGCAGAAGGCGGTGCTCCTCGATACCGCCCGCATCGTCCGCCGGTTTCTTTCCCTTTCTCCCTAACCCTCGGCCGTTTGGTCTCCCCTGCCGAGGGCTTCCATCTGGTTGGGTTTTTATATATTTATGTAATTTTTATGTATTTATTTTATTTTATTGATATTTATGTAAGTTTATCATTTTCATTTACAATTATATATTTATACAGCCCAACCAGATGAGAAAACTATACAAATACCCCATAATAATAATAATAATAAACCCTCGGCCGTTTGGTCTCCCCTGCCGAGGGCTTCCATCTGGTTGGGTTTTTATATATTTATGTAACTTTTATGTATTTATTTTATTTTATTGATATTTATGTAAGTTTATCATTTTCATTTACAATTATATATTTATACAGCCCAACCAGATGAGAAAACTATACAAATACCTCATAATAATAATAATATCGTTACCTTTGTTGTCAGTAAAGATAAATACATAATACATGTGAACACAGGTGAACGGCAGAGTCGGGAAGGGACGCCCTAGGCGAAAGTTTATCGACCAAATTGGCGATATATTGAAAATGGACCACATAAAGAGTACTTTAACCGACGAGCGTGTATGCGTAGGTGTATGGATGTGCAGGAAGTGAGAGAGGTGTGTCAGGATCGTGCCAAATGGAAGTCCGTAGTCTCTGCCTACTCCTCTGGGTGACAGGCGGGAGTGTTTATATATTGTGTATTTATGTTTACTGACAACAATACTAACGATATTATTTTTGCAAATCACTAATCCGCAATCTCTTCCGGGTAAGACTTTCTAAGTGAAAAGCTTAGCTTACTTAGCTTACTTAGTGAAGCTATGTTGACTGTCGACTCGATCACTTTAGTCAGTGAAGACTATTCGGAAATAAGCTTATAATTGCTGATAAGCTAAGCATTACCGAACTTGTAATTGGTACTACTTTAGATACCTTTTAAGCATAGAAATACTCAAGAACTCAATGTGTTATTTAATATAGTAAATAAGAGCTCTATCAAGCATATTACGAGACGTATTCGCAAGATCAAAAATGGCAGAATATTATCACAATCAGCAACCATTATTACATGAATATTGTGATGGAATTGATTAAACAGTTCAAATGCACAACATATAAAATTAATTTAATATGAAAACAAGAACTTAACTACCGCATTTTAGATGCATCGATATTGAAAACACCAATAACCGGATTGAGTCCAAAAAATTGCCCAATTGCAATAGACAGTTTCATGGCTGATTGAAAAGTTGCGGAGCGTTGGCTATACTGAACCAACGGCAAGGATTTCTTTCTAAACATCATTCTTGAATAGAGAATTAGTAATGTTAGCGTTCTGAAAGTTTGATCAAGGATAAAACATTAAATAATGCGAAATGATTTTCATACAAACTAAACATTTTAAATTTCATAAATTAATATACACAATCATTTTTACTTACTACACTTAGTGCAAACGTGTAGTGGCTATGCAAGAATATCCATATTGGCCCGTAGTTGTCGTAAGAGGTGCCCGAGGGAAATCGAAACAGGAGCCCATCTCCATGGGCAACAGCATCTTCTCTCTCTCTCTCTCTCTCCCTCTTCTCTGCTAGGCCGCCTGCTAAGCGTGGCAACTATGCTAAAATCCTCCCTATGTGGCAATCTATGGAGGAGGTCTAGCCTTTTATAGGCTGTAATATATGAACGGTTGGATGGCCGATTACTAGAGATTTAGTTTTACAGAATCATTTCAATGATGCGTATTACCTACCTTGAAGAACACTTCTACGTTCCTATATCCCACAACGGCGTGCTCTATCAATGCTATCACTAAAACCAACATTACTACGACCAACAGCATGTTTATAAATTTCGTACCTTTTACATAAATACATGTTTCAGTGATGACAAGTCTCTTTGATCTAGAATTAACTACTGTTTTTTTATTGGTTTAGTAGTCACTTCCCATTAGGGTAACGCCGAACTATTTTGAAGCTGAAACAGCTTTTGGGAAATGGCCAATAAGATTATCCACCAAAACAAATTTTAGTGCTGTTAAAAAGAATAAAAAAAGTTTTGTTATTTTTAAATTTAAAAATAAATAAATACGAGCATATTTCACAAAAGAAGCGTTTAGATTTAAAGTTAATCAGGGACGTTCGACTGTTGTGTTGTTATTATCTTCTTATTTGATTTCTATTACAGATAAATTTTTCCAATTGAGATCAGAAGCTCTTTAAAGGTCAGTATAATAAAAAAAATCTATGGTCAAGGACAATATGTGTTTGTTCATGATAGCAATTATTTTAAATTTTATAACCTGCTGGCAGTCCCATTTTTATTCTTGTCAAAGTTACTCAAATTGGATTTGATACATAGGTGCATATGTCAAGACCAAGAATGCAATTATACGATTAATTCTAAAAAGAACATAATGTCATAATTTTTTCTCCTAGGATATTACGAATTTTTTGGAGATGGTTAGTGCCTAAAGATCGTGTAGTAATTATTAAGGTACTAGGAATTAGTAAGTCTGGGGAAGAATCTCGCTCGCACAGAATACCATCATCATACTACTCTTTTCGACGAGAGCCGGAGAATCATTTTAGTAGTAGGGAGGCATTCTACCTAAATATTTAGGGATGACAACGCATCTTTTTTTGATCCTCTTTAGTATAAATGTGGGTATCTAAAGGCTACAGCACTCAATATCAGCTGTGTACTTGTTTGTATAACTTTCTTCTAATTAAAAAAAAAACAGCCAAGTGCGATTCGGACTCGCGCACCGAGGGTTCCGAACAAATCCATAGGTATATTATAAGTTTAAAATTATTAAAAATATTTTTATTATATTATGTAACTAAAAATTTATGCTTTTCGCAATTTTTCCTTTACCTGTACTATAAGATGTTGCTTCGTACCAAATTTTAAGATTCTGAGTTCACGGGAAGTACCTTGTAGGTTTTGATTCCCTTGCGAATGTCGAAAATTCGCGGCCTAAACGGCTGTATCTTTTGATTGCGTTGGCTTAGAAGGTTGGTTTTTTCACAGCTCCATGAAACAGTAGACTTGAGTATTTGATATAAATTTCAGCTGGACACCTCCACGCGTTCCTGAGAAAAAGGGTCTTGACAGACAGACAGACAGACAGACAGATGGACAATAAAGTGATCCTATAAGGGTTCCGTTGTTTTCTTTTGAGGTTCGGAACCCTAAAAAAACATATATTGCCTTGTGATATACAATTCCAAGTCGGTATAATTATAAGCACTCTAATCACAAGATCCCATGATTTTCACAGTAATTGTGTAAGCTGACCGCGCTCAATTAGAGCATAAGCAAGAGTTTAAGGTGCACGACAAATAAAACAAGGTATAGCTTCGCAGCATATTATGACTTCAGCACGAATGGTTTGGCTTGATCGATTAATATGCTTACACACAATACCAGGGTAAAACAGCAGCACGAAGCTACTGACAAATCATAAGAAGAACTTAGAAAAGCAAAGAATTTTCTTATTGGTAACGAACTTGTACGTGGTAGAACCATGCTGCAGCTATATTAGAGGTATAGTTGTAGCACGAATGGGTCGGCTCCACCGGGGAGGGACCACGTTCTCGCAGGATACCAGCGTAAAATAGCAGCTACACGCTGCTGTGTTTCGTATGGTGAGTGTAGAGAACCGGATATCCATTTTACTGGAAATGAGGCTTTCCATCTTAATCCTCACGGGTCGACAACGCATCTGCATTTTGATTTGTAATAGAGGATAGATGTAGATGTCTATGGGCTGCAGCAACCACGTACCATCAGGTAGACTGTGTGCTCGTTTGTCACCCTTTTCCTTTAAAAAAATATTTATCCAAACGGGTGACAAAGCGGGGATATTTTTATTTTTATACGTATACAAATATAGATGTCTATAGGCTTTAGGACCACAGTATACAATAACCATTATTTAATTGTTTGCATTTTTATAGAAATAGTACACAGCTCGTTTTATTGCCTTATTTATATTAATACACAAACACTCTTGTATTACAGTTTCCTAAGTTCCGAGTTGGTTACATTATGGGCTTTATGCTCTACCGAATACACTCAGTTTAAAAACAATGACAGCAGTACTAATAATATCAGTCAAGCATAAAATGCTTGAGTTGGGAATGGTTGAGCGGAATAAAAACTATCATATCTCTCAAGTTGGACCAAAATGCACACAGTGTGCAAAATTTCATTAAAATCAGTTCAGTAGTTTAGGAGTCCATCGCGGACAAACAACGTGACACGTGATTTTTATATATAAAGATGTAAGGAAAAACTACATTAAAACTTACCCCTTTTTATTTTATTAAGTCTGTTAATACTATTGTTATTTTAAAACCAGCACGGCATACAGCACAGACAAATGAAATGGGTGAAGTGACATTACTAAAATACTAAACTTACAAATTTCTACGCGTTTTCTGAAAATCATATAATATCTTTAATCCTAACCCCAGCCCTATCCCTTACTCGAAATTTTTCATCATCACATTCCATTTTGCATTGCATCTTAGTCAATGACTTGACAACGCATCTGCTTTTTTATTTTTACTCGAAGATAAATGTATATGTATGTATGGGCCACAGCATCCACTTACCATCAGGTGGACTTTATGTTCGTTTGTCATCCTTTTCTATAAAAAAAATCTGTCACTTACGAGTCTCAGCAGTCGTTGAACGACTTAAGCGGATTCTTTTGCGTACGGCGTCTACAGTGAACTTTATACTGCAAATACAGTAAGTGTTTCTCGATATACCCTCAATTCCACCTTGTTACCATAGATATGATGCACCGTTTTGACACAACCTTTCGCTCACTCTCGATTCAACCGGTGCTTTATGGACACGCCAACATATTAATATCAGTAGATAATGTCTTATCTTTTCTCACCTAACTCAAATTTTTATATTACAAAAACTCGGTCAAAATATTAGTGATTATAATCATCATCATCATCATTACAGCCCTTTACAAGTCCACTGCTGAACATAGGCCTCCCACAAAGAATGCCACAAAGCACGGTCCTGAGCCTCCTGCATCTATCGACTTCCTGCATGTCTTACCAGGTTGTCACTCGATCTAGTGGGGTGCCGCCCTACACTTCGTTTAGTAGGCTGGCACTCGAAAGCCTTTCTTCCCCGTCGATTGTCGTTTCTTCAAGCTACTGCCACTTCAGCTTACTAATCTGTTGGGCTATGTCGGTCACTCAGGTTCTACAGTGATTATAATATTGCGACTTATTTTAGCATTTTATAACATTAGTTAGTACGAAAGATGAATCCAAAAATGATACTACATTTTTCCTTTCTAATAAATTTAAAACTATCTTTACTAGATATTAAGTTTAATTGAAATATCAGTACACAAGACTTTATTTAAGTCATGGAAAATATTTTAGGCCGGGCGACTTTTGTAAGGTGACTAAGAACTTACGGTAAAACTTTTCATTAAATAGAGGAAATCTTTTTGGAAATTTGTAAATTTAGCCAAATTTACTTGTTATCAACTGCTCAACTTATTTACTAAACTTAGAGAGTGTTTTTAAATTTATTTCTTAGCAATACCAATACCAGTACCAAAACCACTACAACACAAGATTTGGCGGCATAGCACTGTACCCTTTTTCAGAAGTTTTCACCTCACTGCAGCATGGCTCTAACACGTATAAAAAACGTCATCGAAATCAATATGTACTTCGTGGTTTACGACGTTATTTTTTAAGACAATATAAGAGTAAAAAACTATTTTACTATGCTTGATTATGTTAATGTGATTATGTTTGTAAACAAGTTCTGTAAAATAAAGGTATCTAATTTTCTTTATTATTTCAGCTATTCAAAATATTATAAATCGGTTAAGTTCTTTTGGTAGCCTGGCACCTGGAAATTGCTTCCTATCAATAGATTGTGGGATTTGAGCGTCAAATTTGTTTATCGTTATTCTAATATAAGTTAGTCTAAAGCGAGGGCTTGACCCTCGCCTCACAACCTGCACTGTCTTGTGTAATTAAAGTGTGGTCTGTCTTTCCAAGTGATTACAATGTCTTCAAGGTAAGAGTGAATAGACTTTTGCTAAGCCAATTCAGTATTCAGTCCTTCAGTCTATCTTCGACTACATCTTTACTTACTATCTGGTAGGACAATAATCCATTACAGCCTATAAAAGTCCACAGTTGAACATAATCCTTTCCCAAAGATGTACTCATAAGAGGGATTTTGGCAGAAATGCCACGCTTGGCAGGCGGGTTGGCAACCCCAGGTTTTTATAATTTTGAGTTGTT